GAGCAGTGATTTCCACATGTGACCATGGACCCGAATCCCCTCGAGGGCTTGTGAAAACACAGGGTTGCTGGGCCCCACCCCAGAGTTTCTGGGAATCCTGGGGTGGGACCCATGGATCTGCCCTTCTAGCAAGTTCCCAGCTGTTGCCCAGGCTGCCAGTCTGAGGACAGGACTGTGAGAACCACTATTTTAGTGCGTTGTGAGCTCCGAGCAAGAGAAGCACTTAACCAGGAGGCGGGGCTGGGCTGGATTCGGGGCATCTGGGAGCTGTTGCTAAACCGCCAACCACCGGCGAGGTCCATAATCTCCCCAAAGCTCCGTCTGTCATGGGGACGCCCTGAGTCCACTGGGGGAGCCCAGCTCGGTACCGTCGGCGGGGCCTTACCTAATTCTCCCTGGAAGGCACCAGGAAAAGATCAAGGATGATGAGTAAAGGGCGAATAAAACAAAGCCCAGGAAAACAAAGCCTTTCAAAATTCGAAATTACTCAAAGCTCCTTTAAAACCCACCACCAGTGGGAACCTGACAGTGTAATTATACAACCCGTGAATATAATTAAGCGCTTCCCTTCTGTCCCCACCCACTTCTCCCAGGCTTTGGGTATGGAGGAAGAGGGGGGAGGGGTGTCTCCCCCACCCCCACCCCCCAGGAGTCTCCAGACTCACAACAGTAACACCCTACATTCCCCTGCTCTTGTAAACCATCCCTGCCCCGCCCCCACCCCAAGTAGAACTTGGATCCGGTGGGAGCCAAACCCCAGAATGTCTTGGCCATCAATTACTATTTATTGGGTCTTCACGGTGAGCTAAGCAGGCGTATAAAAGACAGCAGTCCCTGCAGACTGTTATTAAGCTGGGAGAGAACAAGATCCCGCCTCCCCTTTCACAAGGTGTTGGCAGCTCGGTGGTTGTGTCTGCGTCGAAATGAACATTCAACCACTCATCCCACAAAAATTTATGGAGCCCTCACTCTGTGGCAGGCCCTCTTCCAGGCTCTGGGAGTGTGGCCCTGTGCGACCCAGACAGAAGCCCCTTCCCCGGGGAGAGGGGAGGCCACAGGCTCGGAGGACCTTGTTGGACAGAGGCTGGTGGCAGGTTGTCCACTTCGTATGCCCCTTCCCAAAAACGACTATGGAACTAAGGCTCCCGCCCGTTCCAGGCCAGTGGGCGAAGAGTTCAATGTCAGACCCAGGAAGTGCATGTTCTCCAAGGACAAGCCAAATGCTGGCTGGATTTCCAGGTGTCCTGCCTACATACAATGGTCACTTGAAAGCCAATGGGAGCCAAGGCATCGAACACCCTGCGGGTGCCTTCTCTACAGCCCGCTCCTCACAATCTATGGGGCCGTTCAGGGGCGGCCTTGACCCTCCCTGGAACCTGGGGCTGCTTCTGGTCAAAAGGGGCTGTTCCATCCCACCAAAGAGACACGTGATTTTCCCAGTGTGTGTGGTGTCCTTCTGGGAAGGTGACTGAATACTAGGGAGCCTAAATCTTCACCTCAGCAGCTGAGGCAGGTGCCATTTGCCTCGTCCAGGGTGGCAATCCCAGCACCTAGCACTTCGCCTGTAGCCATATGGGTGGGGGAGGGCATGAATGAATGAATGAACGCATCAGGACACTTCATGCAACTTGGAGTCCCGTAGTCTCCTACCCGGAGCCCTCCCCACCATCAAGCTTGTCAGGCAGCCCTCACCGAGGACACATGCCCAGAAGATGGAGATGAGACAGGAAGTCGAGGTTGTGCTTGGAGACCCACAGACTAGAGAAAAGAGCCCCTGGAAGACCTAGCCAATTGTCCGGGGAGGAAAGTGGAGGCTGGAGTAAAAGCAATGAGCTTGCAGCCCCCTCCCACACGCCAGCTGAAAAGGAGGAGGTCAGGTGAATTCCAACTCATTACCTCCACAGGCAATGGCTCGGAGCTGAACGGGGATTGTAAGGGCTGGGCGAAGGCGGAGCCCAATATCTGGGGATGGAGAGAAGGAAGAGACAAGAGAGGGAAGAGGCTCAGTGCCGTCGCTCCGTGACACAAGAATGTTTCAAGGATGCATAGCATGTCAGCATGAACATGCTAGCATGTACACAGAGCAAACTGAGTACACGTTCCACAGAAAATCGAGACTCAGACAACCAGACAAGCCCACGAGCAAAGGCCCCTGTGGTAAAAGCAAGCAGCCTCTACGTGCTCCCATTGAATGGAACACGCTGGCTGCGCGCTGATATGTTCACCCTCGGAGGCCTCTCTCCCTGGAATGACATGACTTCCCTTCCTGAAAACTCCTATTCTGTCTTCAAAACTTATTTTTGTGTCATCTCTTGCGCCCCCTCCAAATGACTGCTTTCTTCTTAGGTTACCATATTAGCCTCAGTCTCCATCATCACCGCATGGCCGAGTCAACACTGTGGGGGAACGTGTGCCCTCTATCTAACCTGCTGGACCGTGAGTTCCTAAAGGCCAGGACCCTGTCCTATTCATCTTTGTCTCTTCCAGGAGGTCTTCCATAGATGTTGTTTTTTATATTTAAAAAACTGTAAGGAAGGTTGCCACCTGCCATGTCAAATGGGAGCACCCGATGGGGACGTGTCTACATGGGGAAGCCAAGTTGTGGCAGGAGCCGGAAAACGCTCCCTGAGTCAGACCTTCCGAGTTCTGGGCAATGAGGGAGACCACATGTCAACACTGGGCGCGAGCTACCCCATCATTCCGGAGGCCTCTCAGGAAGCTGGGAGGCTCACAGGCGATTGGAGACTTGTTTATATCAAATAAGCACTTGCGGGAGTGAGTGTTCAAAAAATCAGCAGGTCCCAACTTGAACTTTCCAGAGAAGTCAAGGCCATCTACCCTACGCCTGGCGCAAGAGAGTGGGCAGCAAAGCCAGGCTTCGTTCGGCTCCTCCATGAGAGACCCATGGGAACGGCTGGAGCTTGGGTCCCGCGGGACCTCGGAAACCTGGGGTCGGGGGGCAAACTCCCCTCTCCGTCCCACCCGGTGTCTCAGGCTGCTGCCTGCGAGTGGTGAGCGGCGTGAAATAACTGTGGCATTTACCGCTGTTAATTAGCAGCAAGGTGCTCATGAGTAATGTTGTGGTGTTAAGGGCGTGGTGCAGCTTTTCATTACCGACTCCCTCCTTCAGGGTTATAAACTCCAGGGGAGATGTTCCCTCCTGGATGAAACCTGGCAGCCGGCCCATGGTTCTTCCCCATGGCTGCTGCCGGACCTGCCAGCACGCCGGCCTGTCGTGATCTGCCTCCACTTCCCCGGCAGCATTACCGGGGCCACAGGCTTCTGGCAAACTGGCCATGGGAAGCCGCACATGCCGGGACCCTGGTGTATTGGAAGCCCCTAAAGCAGAACACTGAAGAAGGAGACGGACATGCTCTAGAAATGGCCAGGTCCGCAGGAAGTCACCCCACCAGCCACCAGGAGATCGTCCATGCAGTGGACAAGGCTGTCTTCCCTCAGCAGGCAGGGACAGGAGGGTTCCATCAAGAGCCGATCTATGATTCTCATGACTCAACGCTCAACATTGCTAACAAGAGCCTTCTAGGACTGTAAGGTCTTCCGATGGGAGGATAGATCAGGGAGTGAGTTGGGAGGTTGTGTCTTTTACGTAGACCACGTTTATGAGTTTTAACAAGCTCTGCCTTCTCAATCCTTGAGCAATCACATCCCACTGTGTTTTGCACTTTATGATTTCCATTGTCCTTTCACCAACGATACTTTAAAAAATATATATATATCAATATATATGTATTTTATTGAGTTCAGAGAGGAAGGGAGAGAAAGAGATAGAGAGAAACATCAATGATGAGAGGGAACCATGGATCGACTGCCTCCTGCATGCCCCACACCAGGGATCGAGCCCACAGCCCAGGCACATGCCCTGACCGGGAATCAAAACATAATCTCCTGGTTCATAGGTTGACACTCAACCACTGAGCCACACCGGCTGGGATCACCAATGATACTTCCTTTTAATTTCCCTCCCTCCATCAGCCCTATCTCTGAAGTAGGCAGCAGGAGCTATAACTGCTCCGATTTTGCAGATAAAGACATTGAGTTTCAGAACTTGGAATGACTTTCCCAGATTCACATGGCAGTGCCCAGATGCAAGCTCAGGTCTCCTGATGCCAAGCCCAGGGCTCAGACTTTCCACCTGGCATGTTCTTAAAAATGAAGGGTCAGCATTTTCCTCCCACCTGGTCCACTTCCTGCAAACTGACTGGCAAGCGGGTTGATGGTAACGAATTATGAATTTTCCCCTGGGAAGCGGAGTATTGCTCAATGAGCTGCAATTCCTCTCCTATTTCAACTCAAGAGACGCTTACTTTATCATGGCTTGTGGGCCCAAGCCGAGAGGTCCTCTGAACTCTGTCACCCAGAATATTAGATCGGAGAAAGAGAACGGAGGACAGGGGGCTCTGAAGACCATTGTCAGGCCCCTCCACCCCAATCAGACGGGAGCCATAAAGACATAACCTCCTCGTCCCCCAGGTCCTCAAAAGGTAATAACATGATAAAGGGAAACAACAAATTACTAACCTATTACCTACTGATTTTAATTAGCGATGGAAACTAGATCCAACATGAACTCCTCCCTAGAAATTCTTCCTGCTCCAAGCACCTGGCAGGGATATGTGCTCCTATCTGGGAATGCTTTCAAGAAGCTGGCAACAACCAGCTCGACCTGTCCTATCCTCTGAGAAACCCTTGGAGAGGCCACTGGAGCCCAACTAATGAGTCCAGCAGAGCTCAGATGGAGACCTGCAGAAAAGGGAAAGGGCGTCGGTCCCTGTTGCGTCTGATTTCTTAGCAAATCTTGGCTGAACCATGTAGAAACCCGAGACCCAGAGAGACACCTCATTTTCATGCTTGGAGACTTACGGGCTACTTTTAATTATCCACTTGAACCGAATTTCACTAACACAGAGCGGACAAAAGAGGTACTTCTATTTAATTTAGAAAGGAACGAAACATGCTTTAGTTGGCGATGGCTTCCCTACCTTTCTGAGAGTTGCTTGCTCGTGTTTATTTGCTGTTCATCGCTGGATCACGCATATCAGCTGTGAAATGGAAAAGAGAGGCGATGAGAAGAGAACGTGGCCTGAGGATGAAGGCTGCAGAATGGAATTTCCACAGGTGGAGTGCAGGGTGTAGGGCCCTCGGTGCTTTCCCACAGGGGTTTTCCTTGCTGACCAGTAAGACGTGGAAGTGATCCTGGAATCCATTTTATTGTCTCCTACGTTCAGAGAATTGTCTCAGCCACTGCTGATCCACAACTACTGTCACTCTGAGGTGACTTGGCTGGTGACCCACAGGGACGAGGACCAGTGCTCTCCCAGCTCCATACCAGTGGGAGCCAGCCATCAGGTGACAGGAAGCAGACATCCCTCCTTACCTTGGGACCCTCTTTTTTTCCCATCTTCCCCAAACCATCTACCTGGACATCTATATCATTCCATTGAAAAGCAAAGAAAGTCTCAAAGAGCAACACCAAGGACTTCACCTTACTGATTTCCTTGTACCACCAAGACGAAGAGGTACCATAGAGATCAGCAAAGCAGGGGCCCCATAAGGATGGCCCTCTCTCTTGTCCCTTTTCTCATTTCCTTATCTGCCTCCAGTCCCCTCCAGTATGCATCCCACGCTTTTTTCTCAAGAAACCCGCCCCCCCCTTCCTCCCTATTTATGTCTTGAAAGCTTGGCCTTCTGCTAGATGTGAATGGAGAATCTCATCTACACGTGCTGGTAAACTCTGAAGGAAATGAGTTCCAAGAGATGGGAAGAAAGTAAGACCTCAAGTTTATATTATACCTTCTTAAAAAAATACATTCTTATTGAATTCAGAGAGGAAGGGAGAGGGAGGGAGGAAGGGAAAAAGAGAGAAAGAGAAACATCAATGATAAGAGAGATTCATTGATCATCTGCCTTCTGCACGTCCCACACTAGGGATGGAGCCCACAACCTGGGCATGTGCCCTGACCAGGAATTGAACCATGACTTCCTGGTTCATAGGTCAACGCCCAACCACTGAGCCACGCTGGCTGGGCTACTCTATGCCTTCTTTAATAGAAAGCTGAAGCCGATAGGTTTACAAGGCATCCAAGAAGCAAGACCTCCTCAACCAAAGCCGGCTTCATTGGTTAAATTTTTTCTTACAGAGGTCTCAGATGAGGAAAACACATTTCTCCTATTCACACGGCTTAGATTGTGTTCTTTTGAAAACAACCATCCTAGAATTATTGTCCTAAAATGTATTTGATTCCAAAGACTTTATTATATAATAAGAGTAAATGATGAGTGGATGAAACTTACCCATCAGGGGTGAGTAATGACAGGTGCAATTAGATAATGCTGGTGATCTAATCTTGCTTCAGTTTATCTCACTGCAAACTGACAATTGAGAGGTGATTTTATAGTCGTCTTTCTATGAACAAAGCTTGCCTTAAGCTCCTTCTCAGGACTGCATGAAATCTAAGTCAAGTTAATAATGAAAGGAGCCCCGGAAGCTTCCCCTATTGTGTGCTAAGTATTACATTTGCTGAAAAATGACAGCAAGCAAAAGGTGAGAGTTTGAACAGGGAAGGTCAGCTACTCACATAACCTAATGGGAAAATTGGCCTTCTCCGTGGTGGAAGAATGATCTTCTCCAATGAGCTCACAGACTGGGGAGGGAGGTGCGATTTTAAAAAAGGGGGAGGGAAGAGGGGAACTCGGCCAGTGTTGCTCAGTGGTTGAGTGTCAACCAGGAGGTCATGGTTTGATTCCCAGTCAAGGCACATGCCTGGGTTGCAGTGGGTGTGTGTGCAGGAGGCAGCCAATCAATTATTCTCATCATTGATGTTTCTCTCTCTCTCCTTCCTTTCTCTTGAAAATAAATAAAAATAATGTTAGAAAAAGAAGCTGACTTAAATATCCAAATCACTCAAATAAACCCTGTGCTCAGTGGGTGACAGGTCACTCTCACATCTATACACGAATAGATTACACATAACCGGCACACATAGAATTGGTTGGCCTGTTTCAACCAACCACAGAATACAGCCAATGGGGAAAGCCCATGGGATTTGATGCTTCCTTTCCAAGGATTCCACCAACAACAGTGATGCTTGCAAGACAAACACCATCCCCTGCGTTTATATGAGGTACGCAGTATCTCAATGCACCTCTACATGTCTAACTTCTTCACCTCATAGTCTACTATGAGGCCTATTGTGGGGACATGATTATCTGTAGATTTCAAGTGATACAATGAAGATCAAGGGTAAATGACTTTTCCATGGCCACAGACCCACTGAGAGAGTATATCCAGGACCGGGATCCATGTCACTGAAACTTGAGTTTGTCCTCTCTCCCCCAGAACGTCAGGTTCTGTTGGGTTCATGCCATGGTGGCCTTCCTCTTCCATGGAGGATGAGTGTCCTTCCAAAGCTCTACTAAGGGAGATAACAATCTGCTGTAACGGCCTTGACCTCTTGACCCTACAGTGCCCTTCTAGGTGTTGACAGGCATTTGTCAGATGAAAACAAGGGTGGCCAATCTCCCCCTCTTCCCTTTTCCTGTCCTGTGGGTATTCCTCTGGGGTAGGTATTTCAGCCCCTGCTCTCCCGGGAACAGGATTAGACAGGTTCTTCGGGCATCAGATTTCAGACCTTCAACTTTTCACTTTCTCCTCAGCACGTAGGCTTGAGAACTGACACTGAGACAGGAGAGGCAAAGTGTAGAGGCAGAATGGAAGATTAAAAGTTGATGGACAGCCGAAATTGGTTTGGCTCAGTGGTAGAGCATTGGTCTGCAGACTGAAAGGTCCCAGGTTTGATTCCGGTCAAGGGCAAGAGGCAGCTGGTGGATGTTTCTCTCTCATTGATGTTTCTAGCTATCTCTCTCTCCCTTCCTCTCTGTAAAAAATCAATAAAAAATATATTTTAAAAAAAAGTTGATGGACAACCCAGAGAACTAGTGAGAGAGTTAGAAATTATGAAGATGAGACCGCGAGGGATCTGATGCAGCTAAGCAAATTCTATGAGGTCGATATTGTAACCATGGCAATGTTTGACCTGGAGACATCTGAAACTTTAATAAAAGAAGGGAGGGGTGGGGGTGGGGAGTTCTGATAGAAACCACATGTGATAAGAGTAAGAGAAAAGTAAGTCTTATCAAAGGTGAAGAATCAATACTAGCTGTTGAACTCTATGCATCCCAGCTCTTTTTTTTAACGTATTTTATTGATTTTTTACAGAGAGGAAGGGAGAGAGACAGAGAGCTAGTAATGTCGATGAGAGAGAAACATCGACCAGCTGCCTCTTGCACACCCCGTACCGGGGATATGCCCGCAACCAATGTACATGCCCTTGACTGGAATCGAACCCGGGACCTTTCAGTCTGCAGACCGACGCTCTACCACTGAGCCAAACCGGTTTCGGCTGCATCCCAGTTCTTGATGAAAAACAGGTAACATTTGCTGAGCTAATGAACTGTATAATTAATCTCCAGTGATTTTTTGAAAAAGTAAAAGATAGAAATACATTTTTCTTGAGTGGTAGCCAGAGAGAGTAGAGGAAAGGTTCCAGCAGAGATGTCTCCTTAGTATGGAGGCTGGTTAAAACTGAGACTGAGTGCCGGGCCAGGCCGGTGTGGCTCAGTGGATTGAGCATCATTTTGTACACCAGGAGGTCTCTGGTTTGATGCCTGGTCAGGGCTTATGCCCTGGTTGTGGGCTCCATCCCCTGAAGTGGGTGTGCAGGAGGCAGTCGATCAATTACTCTCTCATATCAATGTTTCTATCTCTCCCTCTCCTAGCCTCTCTTTCCAAAATCAATAAAAACATATATAAAAAGAAGACTGTGGTGAACATGACTACTGGATCCTACCTTCCAGCACCCAGTTGTTGTTGTATGTTATTTTTTTGTTTTGTTTTAAGAAAAAAACACACAAACAAACAAACAAATGAGACCTCGTGACTCAGCAGTGCATTGACAGAGGGGATTCTGACTTCCTTTATTATTTGGATAAAAGGCTGAGGTGACCTCCAATGGCCCCGGGAAATTCTAGATTCCTCAACTGCCATGTGTAGGAGAGTGCCTCCAAGCAGGCACTGAACCCCCCGGTAAGATGGCGCTAAAAGCTGAAAGGACCTGCTGATTGTCAACCTCGATTTCCTCAGTAAGACGAGGAGGAAGGGCACAGAGCCGTGGGTTCTTCCTCTCCGAGTGTCTGTCACTCACTGCGTGGCCCTGGGCAGATCACTGGACCTCTCTGAGCCCTGGGTCTCCTTGGTGTGTGTTGGAGGTGACAATCCTCAAAGCACAATGCTGCTGTAAGCGTCACACTTACAGAATAAGAGCAAAAGTGCTCAGTGCTGTGAGGCACGTTGTGCGTGTCAATGGTGTTTAGGGACAGCCCAAGTGCCCATCGGCACATGAGTGGATAAAAGAGCCGTGGTACATTTATTTACACAGTGGAATACTACAAAGCTGTAAAAAAGAAAGGACTCTTACCATTCGCAACAGCGTGGAGGGACCTAGAGAGTATTGTGCTAAGCAAAACAAGCCAGTCAGAGAAGGATAAGTGTCATATGATCTCCCTCATATGTAGAATCTATTGAACAAAATAAACTGATGAACAAAATAGATCCAGAGACACAGGAGCAGGGAACAGACTGGGGAACCTCAGAAGGAAGGTGAGGCTGGGTGGGTGAGAGGGAAGAAATCAACCGAAGAACTTGTGTGCATACATATGCGTAACCCATGGACACACAATGGATGGTGAAGGCCTGGGGTGGGGTTTTGGGGGTGGGTTATAGGATGTCATTGGAGGGAAAGGGGGTCATATGTAATACTTTCAACAATAAAGATTGCAAAAGAATAAAATAAATAGTATTTAGCAGAGAATACTGAGGCCTGGGAGGCGAAATGCCACTGGGATGACTAGTGAGTAAAACAGTCAAGACCAGAACTTGGGTCTCTAAGCTACTGCTTCTTGCTGGGTAACAACACCGCGATTCAGGGGTGTTTATAAATGTTACAATGCAGTGATCTAGGGAGGCGCTCCCCTTTGCCATAGA